GCACCCCCGGGGGGGTCCCCAAACGTCCCCCAGGGGTGCCCTCAAGTGATAAAATCTTTTATTTTGGGGGAGTTTTGGTGGTTTTGGGGGAGTTTCGGTGGTTTTAAGGTGTTTCCTGTGGTGAGGAGGGCACCCAGAGAGGGTGGGGGGCACTTCTGGGTGCTGGGGGGGTACAGCACCCCTGAGGGAGTCCCCAAACATCCCGCAGGAACACCCATAGGTGACAAATTCCTTATTTTGGGGGAGTTTTGGGTGGATTTTGCGCGGTTTTAAGATTGGGGGACTTTGGTGGTTTTGGGCGGATTTGGGGTGTTTTTAAGGGTGGGGGGCACCCCTGGGTGCTGGGGGGGGGTGACAGGGGACCCCCTGACCCCCCCTGTGCCCCCCCAGCTGACGGATGACGTGAAGAAGGACAAGGAGAAGGAGCCGGAGCGGGCGGAGAGGGCGGAAAACGCCGGAGCCCCCCGGAAAAAGGGACCCGAGGACGGGACCAGGGGCAGCGACGGGGACAGTTCTGAGGATGAGCAGGTGGCACTGGGGACACTGGGGGGGCACTGGGGACACTGGGGGGACAGTGGGACACTGGGGGGACAGTGGGACACTGGGGGACACTGGGGGGACATTGGGGGGACATTGGGAACAGTGGGGACCAGGGGCAGTGACGGGGACAGCTCTGAGGATGAGCAGGTGGCACTGGGGACACTGGGGGGACATTGGGGACACTGGGGGGCCATTGGGGACACTGGGGGACACTGGGGACACTGGGGGGACACTGGGGACATTGGGGACCAGGGGCAGCGACGGGGACAGCTCTGAGGACGGGCAGGTGGCACTGGGGACACTGAGGGGGCACTGGGAGGGTATTGGGGACATTGGGGGCATGTTGGGGACACTGGGGGGACTATGGGGAGAGGGGGACTCTGGGGGGACATTGGGGACATTGGGGGACAGCAGGGACACTGGAGACATTGGGGGCACTAAGGGGACATTGAGGGGACATTGGAGACACTTAGGGGATGTTGGGGCACTAAGGGGACGTTGGGGACACTAAGGTGACACTGGGGGGACACTGGGGACACTAAGGGGACATTGGGGGGACATTGGGGACAGTCCCAAGCACGAGCAGGGGGGGACATCCAGGGGACAGCGAGGAGCTGGTACCGAGGTGGGGACAACACGGGAGGGGTTGGGGACATCGTGGGTGGGTGGGGGTGACAGTGGGGACATTGGGGAGGGACAGTCCCTGAGAGGGGACGGGAGGGGACAGTCCCTGACGGTGCCACCACCGCGGTGTCCCCAGGAGAAGAAGCAGGAGGTGCCCAAACTGTCCAAGAAGAAACTGCGGCGCATGAACAGATTCACCGTGGCCGAACTCAAGCAGGTGACACTTGGGGACACTTTGGGGACACTTTGGGGACACTTGGGGACACGGCCCTGGGCCCGTCCCCTCCCTGGCGTGGGCGTGGGTGGCACCCGGTGTCCCCCCGGGAACCCAAATGGGGACACGGGAGCCACCCCAGTGACCCTTCAAGGGCACCTTGGGGACACAAGAGTCACTCTGGGGGCACTTTGGGGACCCAAGTGCCACCTTGGGGTCAGTTTGGGGACTCCAGTGCCACCCTGGAGTCCTGTTTGCCCACCCAGGGCTCACTGATGTCCCTCTTGTCACCTCACTGATCTCGTCAGCACCACCCTGGGGTCCTGTGTGCCCACCCAAGGCTCTCCTTGGTGTCCCCAGTGTCACCCAGTGCCCCCATTGACCCCCCCAGGGCTCCCCTGGGTGTCCCCAGTGCCACCCTGGCCTCATCCCCCACTGTCCCCCGATTGTCCCCGCTGTCCCCTGACTGTCCCTGCTGTCCCCTGAGCATCCCTGCCGTGTCCCTGCTGTCTCCTGAGGGTCCCCACTGTCCCCTGAGCATCCCCTGATTGTCCTTGCTGTCCCCTGAACATCCCTGCCATGTTGCTGCTGTCCCCTGACCGTCCCCTCTGTCCCCTGAGTGTCCACTGACCGTCCCCTGACTGTCCCCACTGTCCCCTGACTGTTCCCACTGTCCCCTGACTGTTCCCACTGTCCCCTGACTGTCCCCACTGTCCCCTGAGTGTCCCCTGAGTGTCCCCACTGTCCCTCCACTGTCCCGTGACTGTCCCCACTGTCCCCTGACTGTCCTCACTGTCCCCTGATCATGCCCTGACTGTCCCCGCGCTGTCCCCTGATTGTCCCCGCTGTCCCCTGAACATCCCCCCCGTGTTCTCGCTGTCCCCTGAACATCCCCTGACTGTCCCCACTGTCCCCCAAGTGTCCCCATTGTCCCCTGAGTGTCCCCACTGTCCCTTGAACATCCCCTAAATGTCCCCTGACCATTCCCCGGGTGTCCCCAGCTGGTGGCCCGTCCGGACGTGGTGGAGATGCACGACGTGACGGCTCAGGACCCCAAGCTCCTGGTTCACCTCAAGGCCACGCGCAACTCGGTGCCGGTGCCGCGGCACTGGTGCTTCAAGAGGAAGTACCTGCAGGGCAAGAGGGGCATCGAGAAGCCCCCGTTCGAGCTGCCCGAGTTCATCAAGCGCACGGGCATCCAGGAGATGAGGGAGGCCCTGCAGGAGAAGGTGGGGGGCATCAGGGGGGCACCGGGATGGGGGTTTGGGGGGGTTGGGGTTGGGTTTCGGGGGGTTTGGGGAGGTTGGGGTTGGACAGTGAGGGATTTGGGGATGTTGTGGGTGCCCAACAGGAGTTTTGGGGACATCATGGTTGGGTTTTGGGGGGTTTGAGGAGGTTGTGATTGGATTTCGGGGGGTTTGGGGAGGTTGGGGTTGGATTTTGGGGGGTTTGGGGAGGTTGGAGTTGGACACTGAGGGGTTTGGGGACGTTGTAGGTGCCCAACAGGAGTTTTGGGGACATCGTGGTTGGATTCTGGGGGTTTAGGGAGGTTGGAGTTGGGTTTGGGGGGGTTTGGGGAGGTTGGGGTTGGGTTTGGGGGGGTTTGGGGAGGTTGGGTTTGGGTTTGGGGGGGTTTAGGGAGGTTGGGGTTGAATTTCTGGGGGTTTGGGGAGGTTGGGGTTGGGTTTGGGGGGATTTGGGGAGGTTGGGGTTGGGTTTCTGGGGGTTTGGGGATGTTGGAGGTGCCCAGCAGGAGCTTTGGGAACGTCTCCCAGGGGTCAATGACCCTTGTTCTGTCCCCAAGGAGTCAGAGACCATTTATGGTGTCCCCAGAGCCCATTTCTGGTGTTCCCAGGGGTGGTGTTGACCTTCTCAGTGTCCCCAGGGCTTTGGTGACCCTTGTGCTGTCCCCAGGGGTGTCACTGAGGCCGTTTCCTTGTCCCCAGGGCTGTTTCTGACCCTGTCCTTGTCCTCATCTCAGTCCCCACTGTGTCCTGAGGAGGAGTAGAAAACGAGAAGTGTCCCCAGAGCTGTCCCTGACCCCGTCCCTGTCCCTGTGTGTCCCCAGGAGGAGCAGAAGTTGAGAGATGTCCCCAGGGCTGTCACTGTGTGTCCCCAGGGCTGTCCCTGACCTCGTGTGTCCTCAGGAGGAGCAGAAGTTGAGGGGTGTCCCCAGGCCTCAGTGACTGTCCCCAGGGCTGTCCCTGACCCCTTTGTGTCCCCTGTGTCCCCCCAGGAGGAGCAGAAGTTAAAAGGTGTCCCCAGGGCTCAGTGACTGTCCCCAGGGCTCAGTGACTCTCCCCAGGGCTCAGTGCCTGTCCCCAGGGCTGGGTGACTGTCCCCAGGGCTGTCCCTGACCCCGGGTCCCCCCCGTGTGTCCCCAGGAGGAGCAGAAGACGATGAAGTCCAAGATGCGGGAGAAGGTTCGGCCCAAGATGGGCAAGATCGACATCGATTACCAGAAGCTGCACGACGCCTTCTTCAAGTGGCAAACCAAGCCCAAGCTCACCATCCACGGGGACCTCTACTACGAGGTGACACTGGGGACACCTTGGGGACACCCGGGGACGTGGGCTGGGGTGGCCTGGGGGGACGTCCGGGGCTTTGGGGACATCCTGGGGGGACATTTGGGGCTTTGAGGACCTTCCCCGCTCGTGTCGTCTCTACATCCCCCCAGAATGTCCCCTCCATGTCCCCTCCATGTCCCTCCAGAATGTCCCTAATGTCCCCTCCCCACGTCCTCCTCCATGTCCCCCCCTTTGTGTCTTTCCATGTCCCCCCCGGGTCCCCCCAGAATGTCCCCCAGAATGTCCCCAATGTCCCTCTCCATGTCCCCTCCATATCCTCCCCTTCGTGTCCCTCCATGTCCCCCCTGTGTCCCCTTCATGTTCCCCCAGAATGTCCCCAATGTCTCTGTGTCCCCTTCCCTGTTCCCTCCATGTTTCCCCCATGTCCCCCACAATGTCCCCCAAAATGTCCCCCAAAAATGTCCCCCGTGTCCCCCCTGATGTCCCCTCCATGTCCCCCAGGATGTCCCTAATTTTCTCCCCCGTGTCCCCTCTGTGTCCCCCCAGAATGTCCCCTCAGTGCCCCCCACGTGTTCCCTCAAAATGTCCCTCCAGAATGTCCCCCGTGTCCCCTCCGTGTCCCCTCCGTGTCCCCTCCGTGTCCCCCCAGAATGTCCCCTCCCCGTGTCCCCCCCATGTCCCCCCAGAATGTCCCCCCCTTCATGTCCCCAATGTCCCCTTGGTGTCCCCGCAGGGGAAGGAGTTCGAGACGCGGCTGAAGGAGAAGAAACCGGGAGATCTCTCGGATGAGCTCAGGATCGCACTGGGAATGCCCGTGGGACCAGTAAGGGACACTGGGAATGGCACTGGGAACACTGGGAA